GCATGTCTTTCTAAGTGTGTTATTCCACCCATTAAAAGTTTTATTGCACAGAGTGCAGTAAGAACTTCCTTTTATGTTTTCAAGTCAAGTCCACTTCTGCTTCCATTCAATTTTAAACTTTTTGGGTATATTTCTTTTTCTTTGATTTTGTTATATTTTCTTCTACCATCTCAACATCACTTTCACTTTCGCTACTGTCCTTGTTATTATATTGTATAATTGTGTCAAGTGGAAGACTGCAATCATTACCAACAGCATTAGTTTTGGTATTGGTTTCTTCAGATTTTTTTTCCACTGCTTCTTGATGCTTTTTTATAACAAACCTGAAATAAGCAATTTTATTTTTATTTTGTAATTAAATAAATAAAAATTCAAATTAAAAATTATATAAATTATAATATATATATAAAACTATATATAAAACCCAAGTGCAACTGCAATTGGCTTATGGGGCAGTATTAAAATAAAAATGTTTACAAGAATAAAACATAAATATATTTAAAAAATTACTTACTTATCCATTATCGCATATGGGCAGAAAGATCTTAGTGTTTCTCGTTTATGCCTTGACAATTCATATATTAAGATAATAAATTATTAACAACAAGCTACAGAGCCCAAGCTGGATTTTCGTGCTTAATTTATTAATATATTATAACAAATGTTTAGGTCAATCTAGACGTTTCGACCATCTGGTTGTGGTCATCTTCAGTAGTTAGTTATTATAAAATTCGGAACATATTAATAAACAATCGTTACTTATAAAACTAATTCGGATATTACAATCTTCTTATATTCGTTACATTTAAAAATTGTTTAGAGGACAACACATCTTGAAAGTCATGCCTCTTCTAATAACACCAATCTTAAGATCATCAGGAAGGAAATCATGTTTTACATTAAACATACACGATGTCCTTTTTAAGACTTGAATTGTGGTTGATTGCAATTATTCTAAAACCAGCATGAACCAATGTCTATTTTTATCTTTATATTACTTGTTATTTATTAAAATTACTAAAAATATTCTTACCTCAATGCATAGCAGTACCGTCATGTTGTGTTTTCGTGTAAACTTTCTTATTTTAAAAAAACTAAGAACCAAAACTAAATTCGGTGTAGCGAGTCAGTTTGCTAAAAATGATATTGGAGGTCCGTGTCGTTTGAGTGGACATAGAATTAAAGAACACAAGTCGGATATAAATAAAAGAACGGGATCCCCTTCTGTCATTTCTTGTCATAGATTAGAAAAAAACCATGAAATGGATTGGGAGAATGTAGAAATATTAGACAAGGAAATGTCTTATAGCAAAAGGCTTATTTCCGAGATGTTGCACATAAAACGGCAAAAAACGAGTCTCAATAAGCAGAACGATACTGAGTTACTGCCAAACTTGTATTTGCCAGTTCTCAATTTGTTTACTGCTTAAAGATCACTCACTCTCCCACCACGAATCTCCTTCACATACGAGTTCTCTAATATATCCTCTATGATATTCAACTAGTTTGCCATGTCCACTC